TGAATTTTGCAATCATTTCATTAATGGCCGATTCATAAGTTAGGTTGATTTTATACTTATCAAATATAACAGAAATTCCACAAATATACCATAATATTTGTGTAACAGTAGGATAATATATACCAAAAAATTATTTTGTTGCATAATAAAAATTTTCTAAAAATTTAATAAGCACTTTGATCTCATCCTAATCAGAATCAACAATTGGATCAACGGGGATACCATTGTGCATATTAAATACCTTTTAAGGCACCCGATAATCATAAGCAACTTTAAGCATTTCATAAGTATAATTCCATCTAGTACATATATATTTTGGAACTTTTCTGTATGGAAGGTTAGCACTAGCACATTGTTGAGCAAATTCACGAAGTCTACTATTTTATTAGCTTTAAAAATATAGCTGCAAGCATGTTGTACTTTACTGCAAGCACAAGAAAATAAATTTATACCATCTTTAACAACCAAATTAAAAATACGGCATGCACATCTAACATGAAAATTACCGGATTAATTTGACAAAGTCTAGTTCTTAAGCTAGTTGTTGCGGTTGTGTTGGTAGAAGTATTATCTAAGGAGTGCCAGTACCGGTGCTAGCATCCGTAATTTTTTCCGGCTTCTATGTTAGCTTGTATCCATAAAGATTTGTGCTCCTTATGTAAGTGCCTGGCTAAACCCCCGTCCCTCTACTAGTCTTGTGTACAAATTGTTGCTTACATTTTTCACGTATAACACGTTGATTGACTTTATCATGTTTAAAAAAATTTCATACATGTGATATTTTGGGACGTTTAGCCTTAGGCTTACCCCTTACAAGAGGTACATGGGGTAAAGCTCCAGACTGAGATTGACTCTGAGTTGGAGCTTGTGTTGCGGGACTAGTGGGTGTTTCATCTAATTCTTCTTCCTCATTTTCTTCTTCCTCATTTTCTTCGTCCTCAATAAAAATATTATTGCCAAATTATCTTTGTAAAGTTGTATGATCTAGTTGTTCTCTAACATTAATATTATAACATGCGGGGGTTGGGAAAATGAAGTTTCATCAACATGAGTTATTTCAACTATATGTTTTTTAATTCTAGGAGAAGGATTATGATTAAGACTACTACTATCACCTTTACTACTTTTTTTACTATTTTTTTAAAATAGGCCATATACATTTTAGGTGCCATAATTTAAATATGAAATTAAATTAAAAAAGTTAACACAAAAATTAAATACACAAATGAAATACGAAAATATAACACGTAAAGTAAACACAAAAATTAAGCACTAAAACGATACGCAAAAATTATATATTAAAATTAGGAAATGGAACGAGTGCACCGTGATTAAATATCGAAACTTGAAGAAATTGCCCAAAAATTACTCCAAATACTTGACGAATTAATTTGAAGTTTGAAAGTTGCTCCAAAAATTTGCCCAAATACTTGAAACTTATCATTTGATTGTGAGAAAATTGAGAGAATAATATAGATAGAATGTTAGAGATTTGAGAGAGAATGATTGATTTTTGTGGGAAAAAATGAAGAAGGACGTGAGGTATTTATAGTAAAAAATTGGGCCAAATTATAATTTAATAANCCGTTTAACATAGGCCCATCCCGTTTAAAATTAAGTGGGTCGGTCGGGACGGGACGGCCTGTCCCGTTGTAGAGCCATATACATTACTGAGCACGGGAAACACAAGGGGTCCTAATTTTTTGCTGCCGCAGAAGAACAGAATTAGCCATTATTGACAATTGCAGTGTTCTTACAGCTCCTTGAGTTGGAATTCTCCAAAACTGTTATGATGCCCCAAATTGGTTAAAGGGATAAATTATTGTCTCTTATTTTATTTTGAGCAATACTTGCCTCATAAATTAATTTTGGATATTGAGTTAAGCTTATGGATCACTTTCCTGAAACGGATAAATAGTTATTTTCTTGTATGGTTTTTGGCGCAATCCACAACTAATAGGATAACGTTTTAATTTAGAATTAGACTCAAATTTCATTTTCTTTTACAAACTCACTGGTCATATCATCATAATCATTCAGTTCAAATTATAGGAAAATGTCAGAACAAATTTTAGGTACTAAACCTTCCAAAATTCCCTTTGAATTTTCGTAAGGGATAATTGAACTTAGTTATAATTCATGTCTAATTAGACTTTTACTACTTTGTATGACTTCAATTTGAGAACATCCAACTCCGGCCACAGCTTTAAGAATACGACAACTTATCAACAAGAAGTGCTTAACCCCTGTTCTAAGCCTATATAAAATGATCAAAACTAAATTACTTTTTTCTCTTTGATTTGTAGTGATGCAGAACGGACCATTATTTCTTTTACTAAGAAAAGAATAAAGCTAGTTAATAAATCAAGGTGTCAGTCTTGCATATAGGCAATTACCTAGTCCCAAGTGATTTCTTCAATTTACAGCTCTTCACGACTTCACCTATTAATAGGATATATATTATTAGTATAATAAAATTCATGTACAAAAGCGTTCGGTCTTTGTGATTACGCACAATGAATCGAGGAAATTGACCACAGCACTAGAAATGAAAAGCGAAGAACACATACGGAAGCTCTTCAGCGTCTTACCTATAATGAAGTTGACAATTTACGCTAACATTTGCTCGCCTTCCTTAGAAAATTTTGAAGTGCATGGGACTGCATTATGTAACGAAAATTTTATGTTCTTCTAAGATAGAACAAATCAATAAAATGTGAAAATTATGTTTCTGGTCCCTCTACTTGTAAATTCTTGCAAAAATGATTTATTTGGATCTTATGTGTTTATAACCAAAGGATTTAGGTAATTATACACATCCACAGTGTAAAAGGCATTTTAATTAAGTTGTCATTACTCTGCGACACCAAAATTACGTACCAATTTTACCGGATTGCCAATTAATACATTATCTATAATTATAAATTATCTGATTATGTAAATATTTTATATTGTCTGTACAAAAAACTTAAACTTCTTAACCAAAATATCACAGGAATCAGAATAAAGAAAAATTATCACTAACGAAGGGACCAAATTAAAAGCCATTTGGAAAGTCACCTAGGAATTGGATTTGGGTGTAATTGGGTGTAATTATACAGTTTGGCATGTTTGTTTGGCCAAGTAATTACTTGGTCAACATGAAATTGGCTGTAATTGGAGGAGTATATTTACATTCTCCAATACTAAAGAGAGAGGTAAGAATTGGTGGTAATTACACTGTGTAATTGCAATGTTGCTTTCTAGTTTCTTTCCTTTTTGTTTTAATTTTAATTTATTTTCTTTATAAATTTTTATTTCTATTATTTTACTTTTTAATATTTTATTTTTACATTTTAATTTCTTTAAAAATTTTAAAATATATTTTTCTTTGTAAATTATTTATCTTTTATTTCTCTACCTTTATTTCTTGTGATTTCATGTAATTGTCTGTATTTTATTATTCTATTTTTTTGAAACTACAACTCCAAATATTACAAATAATGAGTCATTATCAACCTTGGCATATAATGAGTGATGCAATTAAAATAAAATCTCGTTGTTGAATGTGGCTATAAACTTATTATATATGTTTTCAAATCTTACGTTGTAGTGGAACTTACTATTATTACGTTGGAATTTAACATATGTTAAGCTATTTTTTTTTGAAATTTTGAAATTATGTTATATTCATGGTTCCAATTTTACTTATTTTAGTAGTATTGGCTCACATTGCATGTTGTTCATTTTTTAGTTAGAATTGATAGATTAGTTTTATCAAACATTTGAATAATGTTATGACATTATATTATAAATGTTAATTTATTTTATCAAACATGGATTCTATGAGGTTCTTATGAAACATATCTTTTTAGTTTTTTTAAGTATCTAAACTAAATATTATTAATTTGGAATATATATAAAAATTATTTTTATTATATTAGTTATAAATATGTGATTACTAAATAATGTATATTCACGAATATTATATATATATATATATAAATATATATAATACTTATCATTTATACTTTAAAATTTTTATAGTCATATATTTATTATATTAACTTTTAAGTTTTGATAATTACTTCATTTAAAATTTAATCTAACTGTGTAATTACACTTATGCAATCAAACAGTAAACTTGTAATTACATTAAAATTACACTATAACAAACAAACAAGTCGTCGTAATTATACAACTGTATAATTACTAGTCTGTATAAATACTACCCTAGTAATTACACCAATTGTAATTACCAGGTGGCTTCCAATCGGATCCTAAGTTGTAGTCATATATTATTTTTTCCTTTAACTTTCACCACCTATTTATTACGTGCCAATGTAGGAAAGAGAAGTGTATATGGAGCCTCTTTAATTTAAACTCTACATANTTTCATTATTAAAGTGAAGAGGACAATTATCTGTTCCGATAATTCTTTTTCTCTCCCCTTTTTTTTTGAAAGGAGTTTTAAGCTTATCAAATTTGGACATTTTAAGTGCATTTTTTTTTATCAAGATCGACGAAGAATACGTACTGAAACTAAACAAGAAAAAGAAAAAGATCAGCCAACAAAGTCAAACTTATTTTAAGACTTTCAATTATATCACGAAACAAAACACGTTGTGCTATTAGGAGGAATACATGTGGGTTTTCATGGAGCCAGGATTGATATACGGTCGCCTATAAATCTTCTCCTTCTTTTTTTTCGTTATGTTTTGTTTTTGGAAATGAGTTTTCAAGCTTATTAAAGTTTGAACGTTTTATGTAAAGTTGGTTGTTGGAGTTGTGAATATAATTATATGCATGTGAAGGGACTAATTAATGTTCAACTAAAGTAAGAAAAATAAAGCGTGATCCAAATAATTATTAATGAAGAGGGAAGAAAATTCTTACATTAAACTCTGGATTTATAAGAAGTTAATAGGTTTTTGTATGTGAATGTCATGGCATTTGTGATCTGACGACAGGATTTATTCCTTGCTGGAAGCGACACGTCCGCCATAACAACAGAATGGGCAATGGCAGAACTTCTTCGAAATCCTCAAAAGTTACAAAAATTAAGAGAAGAAATTCTTCAACAAATAGGCACAGAAAGGCCAGTGAAAGAATCAGACATTGACAAACTTCCATACCTTCAAGCAGTTGTAAAAGAAGTCATCAGACTACACCCAGCAGCTCCATTACTCTTACCACACAAAGCTCAAGAAGACACAGAAATATTCGATTTCATTGTGCCCAAGAACAGCCAAGTTCTCGTAAATGCATGGGCAATTGAGAGAGATCCAAAATACTGGGAAAAACCACTAGAGTTTATGCCTGAAAGATTCATCAATTCAAGTGTGGATTACAAAGGAAGGGACTTTGAGTATATACCATTCGGCGCCGGCCGGAGAATTTGTCCTGGAATGCCACTTGCTATAAGGATGGTTAATTTGATGTTGGCTTCTATTGTTCAACCATTTAGTTGGAAGTTACCAAAAGGGATGGCACCAGAGAATTTGGATATGGAGGAACAGTTCGGACTTACTTTGAGGAAGGCCATTCCTCTTCTTGCCATTCCTAGTATGGAAGAAAATAAGGCCATGATTTGAGTCTAGACATATGCTATAATTGCCTGTGTATTACCTTAATGGGATTGTCCTCATATGAGCAATGATTGTGAGAAATATACTCCACCACTATGACCGGATATCTTTACTGCAAATATCTTATCTATCTCTGTAAGGCGTAAGCTAATTAATTTTCCTTACTTTTTCTTTAGTATGTCTTGATTATCAAAATATTTCTTGGCTATTGTGTTATGTCGCGGAAAAGGCAAACCCGAAAATAATAAAGATAAAGAACATCAAATTTAAACTAGAAAAACTTTTCAAATCGAAGGTAAAAATCAGGGGATCACAAAGATCCAAAAAGCTCTACTATAACAATAAGAGGATTACAAAAGTATTCCAAATTGGCTATACAACAAGTACCAAACATGGAACAATAATAGCAACAAGAGCAACAACTAATCAATTGAAGCAAGAGGAGAATGCACAAAAATAAAGCTTCTGTTCGAGGCTCGAAATCAGATGTTACGGACCTCCAAATCCGATCTCCACCGTTCAGATCAAAGATCAAGATGTTACTAACACTTAGTCAAAATATCAGCCGGATTCAACGGTTAACGAATCGGAAAATGTGATTTGAAGTTGGCTAGTCGGAATACAAATCTGCAGCAAAAACATATATTTTTCTTTTCTCTTCTCTCTCTTAATGAAAGCTCTCTCAAAAACCACTCTTATGTGCTTAAGTTTTTCAAAGACATGTATCAATAAGAATGAAATGATTCTCTAAGGTTCTCCTATTTATAGATCATGAGTGGTACTTTCTCTTAAAACCAAAACCAACTCTAAATAGGAATAAATACCGAATCCAATTCCGAATAGGAATGGAAACCAAAAAAGAATAGGATTAGACCATTGAGCCTTTGGTTGGACAACATGGGCATGACCCCAACAAACTCCCCCTCCAGCCAAGGGGCCAAATATGTCTTCAAATAGAGGAATTATTGACAGGCTTCATACCTGCCAATTTTCTGCAAAATTCATGTTTATCTGCAACCACCGCCTTTTTCAGCATATTCGAAGGATTGTTAGGTGTTCGTCCAGATTTTCTTTCCATAATTGGTTTTCCTATCTCATGAAGGAAAGTACAACATATTTACCATAATTGGGTTTTTCTTTTTCTAGAAGGAAAATATAATTCTTCCATATTTGGCTAGTCCCTTTTCTTGTAGGAAAAGGTTTGGAGTTTTATAAATTGAAGATCCTTCCTTCTCATTCAACAACATCCACAATGTAGCCATATGGAGTTTGAGAGTCGTGTTTAGGGGGAGAATTTTACGGGACAAGTGTTAGTGTGTCACTTGTGCTTGCCTCTTTGAGAGGTTATTCTCTCGATATTTTGTACTCTCTTTTTTTATAGTGGATTGCTCATCTCCGCCTGTGGACGTAGGTCAATTGACCGAACCACGTTAAATGTTTGTATCTCTTTTGGTAGATTTCTTTTTGTTGTCTGATTTATCGTCGTTCAAGGTTTACTTTGTTAGCTTCCGCATGACACCTGACTTATTTCGGTCCTAACAAATGGTATCAGAGCAAGGTTCAAGACAAGTTCATCTTGGCGGATTAAGTTCAAGCCGCAAGCTATTTGACGGTAATCATGGGTTTGTGTCTGAGAAATTTGACCGGAGTGCTACCCACGTTGAGACAAACTTTGCGGTGGAGATTTGGAAATGCGAACTGTTGAAGGCTATCTGAAGAAGGTGGATCAAGTTTATTTTGTCAGAAAATTCAGGCCAAGGGGGAGAATTGTTTGGTGTTTGTCCAGATTTTCTTACCATAATTGATTTTCCTATCTCATGAAGGAAAGAACAACATATTTACCATAATTGGGTTTTTTCTTTTGCTAGAAGGAAAATATAATTCTTCCATATTTGGATAGTCCCTTTTCTTGTAGGAAAAGGTTTGGATTTCTATAAATTGAAGATCATTCCTTCTCATTCAGCAGATCCACAATGTAGCCATATGAGATTTGAGAGTCGTGTTTAGGGGGAGAACTTTACGGGACAAGTGTTAGTATGTCACTTATGTTTGCCTCTTCGTGAGGTTATTTTATCGATATTTTGTACTCTCTTTTTATATAGTGGATTGCTCATCTCTGCTTGTGGACGTAGGTCAATTGATCGAACCACGTTAAATATTTGTATCTCTTTTGGCAGATTTCTCTTTTGTTGTCTGATTTATCATCGTTCAAGGTTTACTTGTTAGCTTCTGCATGACATCTGACTTATTTCGGTCCTAACATATTGAAGGTCTAGTCAGAAAAAAAAAATAGTTGCTATCATGATTTGTCTTAATAGCTTTCTGGGTTAGTTTTGTTCGTATTCCTTTTTTTCCCTTTTTTCTTTTGCTGTGTTTGATTCTTGTTATTAAGCAGTTGATTTAAGTCTAATGCTATGAAGAAATAGTTGATTTAGGATGAACTTGAAGGGCATACTGGAGGAAGAACTTCTTGCTCTCGCATTGATCTTAATAACATTAATTTATTTGTTTGATTGATATGCAAATGGCTAATTTGAATGAATTGGTTTGATCCTTGCAATGCTTGGCATTTTACAGCTGGATAAAATTCTATTTCATGGTTTTCACTTAAAATTAATTTGTTTTTTTTGTCAAATTTGATGTGAACTGTAAATCATCTAGGGTACTAGAGGCTATTATATATGAAATGCATGCCGGCCTGGTGTATAAAAGAAACTCAAGTACACCGTCAATGGGAAATTGACAGACTAGGACTACATTTGTATATTAATATGATGGTGTCTCTGACACTAGCTTGGCTACATCTTTGAGGTCTATTGTTTCTTCCAAACGCACGCGCAAGTATATATGGCCGTACACGTAATAAAATGATAAGTCGAGTATCGAACTTACAGAGACTTTTATCAACTACCCACTAAATTCACCAAGATTGTTATTCAGTTGAGCCAATTCGGGTTCAAGAGTGTAATTATACTAAATAATAATTTTAAGTAGTAACTAAATTATCAAGCAGTAAAATGGTTATTGTGTATTCAGTAGAGACAAATATTCTAAGGTTGTGATTGATTCACCAATCCTATTGTGGTCTAGTTAATTCTCTCTTTCATAAAATTCACTCATGGTTACTAATTAATCGAATAATTGCTCTCATAGCCTTCTCCTGAAGTACTACTTGCCTATTCAAAATAGATTAACACCTATATTCCTATGAAATCAATCTATTAAGAACACATTAAGATTACGATATTTAATTAAGTATAGTCACTAGGTATATTCCTATTCTAACCACAAATCCGCCCCCCTTCAGAGTTAAGATCACACTCTCTTCATTGTTCTCAATCTAAACATGACTTTCCCAAGTGTGAGCACGTGATTTTTGCCCTACCAAAGATACTCCTACAAAATTGAAGAAATAGATTTTTTCCAATTTGTTTTTCAATTTTTAGAGTTTTTGAAGTATTTTTATTAATTTTTTGCATTTTTGTGCACATTTAATTTTGTTAAAATCATGAAAAATATCCCAAAAATGTCAAAAAATCTCATGCATTGCATTTAGATTTTTTGTTCATATTTTTAGGATTAATTAGTTAGTTAATTACTTTATTAAAATAAAAATCACAAAAAATATCATTCATTTTTACATTTTTAGTTTTAATGCTAATTTAGTAATTTCCTCTTCATTAATTTAGGTTTAACTAATTTTATAGTTTTTATAATTAGATAATTAGTTTAATTTTGCAAATTAAATTAATTTAGGATGCATTTTAGGATTTTAACTAATTAGAGAAAAATAAGAGGAAAAAGAAAGAAAAGAAAAATAGGAAGAACATATTTTTTGGTCTTGTTTCTTTAAAATTGGGCTACTTTAAAACCCCGCCCAAACCACTCAGCTCAATCCCTTACCCGGTCCAGCCCTTCAGTAACGCCCAAACGATGTCGTTTTGCCCAGCTAAATCTCAATCGTTGATCTTCAATGATCCAATGGTTGGGAACTGAGCTTCCCATTTCCATATATCTGTCCGAAAATCCCCTAACCCTCCAAAGAATCTCATCTGTCTCTCACCCCAGCCCCGAAATTGAAACCCTAGCCGCCTAGGATTCCCCAACCCTTCACCACCAGCCGCCGCCCACCGGAAATCACCTCACGGCGGCGGCGACACTCCAAATCTGACCAAAAGGGCGCCATGCAATCCTCACCCCCCTTATTTCCAAATCCATCACTAGTTTTTCCTAAATTTCAACTAAATCCACCTAATTTCGGATCTGAAACCCATAAAAGGCAAACCCTAATTTCCTTTTACCTTCTCTAATTTTCGTGCAATTCCGACTCGTTTTGACCTAAATCTTACGTTAATAGATTGCTCTCAACAAGATCAATCGATTGACGACAGTTTTGAGTCATTGCGAGATCATCGGATTCGGACAAGTTCGCCGGATTCCATCTAAAATTCATCGGTTCAATTCAAATTCTTTATCATTACTTTTTTTTGAGTTAAAACGGGTTAAAATCTCATTTCCTCCTTCTTTAAGTACCAATTTGATTTCACCACTAATATTCCCATTTGTTTATTAATTGTGTTTTCTTCATTAGCTCTGTTTGCATCATAAGTAGATCTTAGTTTAATTTTAATCAGTATTTAGTTCATTTGTTAGCATGTTTAGGTTAATTATAATCTGTCTTAGGTTAGTTTAATTTTTAGTTTATTGGTTTTTGCTAGGTTAGTTTGTACAATTTTACTCATATTTTTGGGTTCTAGGTTGGCCAATGAAGGCCTGATCAGTCAAGGCCTAAGTTGTATTGGGCTTGGGCCATCTGGCCATGACTTGGGCCATTTGGCCATGACATTTGGCCCAAACCTAAGAGGAATGTTTTAGAAATGTACCAGCTGTCCAGAATTTGTTGGAAAAGATGCTGAAAAATGGACAGATGTACATAATTCTCTGTCAATATGCTGTACTATCCAAAGAATTTAGGTTAGAATATTCTTTGGATGCTGTTTTTGTAT